TGAACCATGGATTAATATATTGTGAAGATATGGTGTATCCTAGTTCCAAGTCAACACCCATGGTCGATCCTAAAGTCAAGTAATCCTATAGGGACTTTTCTTGAATTCTCTTATAATGATCTTACCTACTAAATGCTAGAGGTTAAGATCAATATGTGGAATTTCAAGCTGAGTAAAAAGAAGAGTTTTGAATTTCTAATGGTGGGGTACCTCTTCTAATTTTCTAAGACTAGTCAATAGGAAAGTCTTATGGCTAGACCTAGGCTACTAAAGAAGTTTTCTAGACCTCAACCAAAAGTGAGGTCAACAGGCATCTGCAACTTTTTGAAGAAACAACTGTACAACAGCCGTAAAAGAAACTACTGCAAGAAAGTTGCTTTTGGTGAAATTGTGTGTCTTGATTAATTCAATTACGCATCAGCTGTATTGCAACTGTTTTTGAAATTAAGATTGTATTGTTCTTATATATATGACATATGCAAGTTAATCATTTTAAAATTAACATATACATAATAACAAAAAAAGACTGTATTACCCTTATATAAATATGGAGAGCTTTAACAGAAATTTCGAGCATACCACACAATTATGATGTATTTAAATATCTAACACCTAAATGCCATTGTACTGCATATTATTGTAAGAAAATTTGGAGGGCTTGAACAAAAAATTTCGGCCATACCACATAATTCTTATGTATTTACATATCTAATACATAAATGTCATAGTACTACATAGTATTGTGAGAAATTTTGGAGAGCTTAAATACCACATAATTCTAATGTATTTACATATCTAACAACTAAATAGCACAAAATTGATTGATATTGTAACAATATTGAGAGCCCCAGTATCTAAAATCTCAAACATTCCACACAACTCTAATGGCTTGACATAACTGACTCCAAAATAACAAATTTATGCTTGATATTGTAAAACAATATTAAAAGCCACACAAGAAATATTTGCTCATATCACATAAATCAGATGTATATACATATCTAACACTTCAATGCAATAATTCAATGAGAGTTTATAAACAACAATTTTCATTTTCCTCCACATAATTTTGATTTTTTCACATATCTAACAACTAAATAATAGTTACGATTCAACTTAGAGGAGTGAGCAGTAAGCTAATGGAGCAACAATAGAAAGAAAAAACATGAGCCATACTGTGATCACAAAGCTACACAAATACGATCACACCATGACCACAAAACTAGAAATTTCGGACATACCACATAATTGTTCATAAACAAATGCTCCTTAAAGGTATAAGAATATCATACCATAATCACAAAATTTCAAGAAGAAAAAGAAAATCAAGAAACGATCAAGTTCGAACATAAGCTTTGCAACTGAGTATTCCAGGCAATATCAAAGTTTCAACAAAACAAGCAATTAATATTAAGGAGATAGAACAACTCAAAACTCTAAAATCTCATATACAACATCTCATAACACTATCAAATGCAAAATGACCCGAAACTGAAGCAAAAGTAAGCTCACAAAAAGCCAAACGATAACCATAGAGAGAAAAGTAAGCTCACTCATAGAGAGATAATGAGAGAGAAATATGGGTTTCAAGCTCCTTTCTAGTTGTGAGTGAAAAAAATCAAAGACCAGTCTGAGAAAGCAAACACAGCCTCACAGAGAGGTCAAAAACAAGAACATTGTTGTCGTAAATGATTGTTTATCAAATTGGATATATTCTAAATAATAGATGAGCAAAAATGGAAAGAAAATATAACAAAATTGTGGAACGCAGCCTGCCGCTGATCGAGCGAGGAGGTTGGTGCCGTGAATCTGTCCTGTGACTCTCTATGTCGCAAGCGTGTCGCCCGCCCCAAACAGTCGGAGAAAGCTCTTCCCGGGTGTTTTCTCCCCAAATGACACTAAACTCGAGCTCGAATCAAGTATTTTTGATAGTTCTCAAGCTCTCTTCATTTAAATTTAGGGTAGTTTGCTTTGAGCTTGACTTGTCAGGTAACCAATCAAGCTTTATTAGCCTGTTAACAAAAAAATTATCGAGAACTTTGCCAGCCAATTGAACCAGCTTTATAGAGCCTATTGAGCTTAGAAATATTATTATAATCAAATGAACTATTAAATAAATAACTATTTTAGCTGCCATAAATAAGTAGCATATGTTGATGAACAAAATGTGAAAACCTAAAATGCAAAACCATAACGTTCTATTACAAAATCTGAGGAAAAAAATGCAGGAAAAAAAACCTATAAGGCTGCCATTGCCATCCAAGTAGAATTTGCTAAAGAGTTTAGACAGGTAGGCGACAGATAGTTTGCAGGAAATTTCTGTTGTTAGAATGCGTTACTGTTTGTTTATGTTTGCTGCCATCTGGCAGTGCTGTATAATTTTCAACGAGGAGGCGCTCAAATCTCATGATCAAAGCAGTGAAAAAGTGCAGCAGATGTGATTATTGAATAAGTTTTTTGTTCTGGTGGAGTATGGCGTGGAAAGATGGTAAGAATTGAGGTGGCTAATTATCAAAATGTTCAATTTTTTATTTTGCACAGGTCAGATAAAATTTGTTCTATGGTTGGCTCCCTGACTTGCAACAGAATAGAGAGAAGTTGCCCCTTAGTTTTGCTAATTGAGGCATGCGACTTGAAATGTTTAATCCCTTGAACCGAGCAAGACAAGCCAATCAATGTGTGTCACGCCCAAGCTAGTTCTCACTTTGATTCTAGACTTGTTCTAGATAAGTGGCTGTTCCAACAACAACAACAACAAAGCATTAATCCCACTACGTGGGGTCGGCTACATGAATCCTTTTTCTCCATTGCGTCCTATTTAGTGTCATATTTTCATTTAGTTCTAGTAAATTAAGATCATTTTTAATACAGTAAGCCCAAGTCTTCCTAGATCTACCTCTGCCTTTCTTAACACAAGTCGAATCTAAAACATCTACTCTCCTAATCAGATCATCAGATGGTCAACGGAAACCATCTAAGATGACTTTCTCTAATTTTGTCTGTCACAGGAGCTACACCAACCCTATCACGAATATATTCATTTCTCATTTTGTCTCTAAGTGTAAAGCCACTCATCCACCTAATCATTCTCATCTCGGCAACACTTAACTTATTATTATGCTTCTCTTTTAAAGGCCAACATTCAGCGCCATAGAGCATTGCAGGTCTCACCACCATCTTATAAAATTTTCCTTTCAGTCTTAGCGGTACTTTTCTATCACACAAAAGGCCAAGCGCATTCCTCCACTTCAACCAACCAACTTGAATTCTACTATTAACATCCCCATCTATATCACCATCGCTTTGGACAACGGACCCAAGATATCTAAATCGTTCACACCTTTTAATAATTTGATCACCCAAAGTCACACTTCTGTCACTAGAGCTATTACTACTAAAATTACATTCCATGTATTCAGTTTTAGTTCTACTTAAACGAAGGCCTTTAGACTCCAATGTAGACCTCCATAATTCAAGTTTTTCCTGGGCTTTTTCTCTCGTTTTATCCACGAGAAGAATATCATCAGCAAAAAGCATACACTTCCAAAGAGCTAAATTTCTTTGTTTTTGTTCAAAGTGTGGAGACATGACACAAATTTCTTGCTTCTAGCTGTTAATCTGTTATTATCTTGTTGGAGGATATGGATCTTTGGTGATCAATCTAACTTTACAAGCAAAAAGCTTCATTCTGTTAGACAGAAAAATTTTCAAATATTTTATCGCTGTCTTAGCCATGCATTAATTTCTTAATAAATGTAAAACTTTTTATTATTCTAGTCAGCTAGTTCTGCTTGTCTTATTTTTAATGTTTGAACTCAAATATACTGTCATATAGCTTCTGAAATGGAGTATGCATACTTTTTCTGAGATGGAGTATACTTTGATACTTTTTATATGAGCTTACTGGGATTTTTTCTCAGAGCCTGATGATGTCCAATTTTCATTATTTCTTACTGGTCATTACTTTACAGTATTGCTTCGTATGAGAACTTTATGCGCTGCCTGCTAAATAATAGCTATTTTCTTAATATTCTTAAGGCCATGAGCTGCAACTATTTGTCATTCTTTGTGTTTTAGGATATTTCTCCTCAGGGTTCACGTGAACATACATGTTTTCTCAATGATATTGTAATTTGGACCTATCTTTACTTGGCCGTGTTATATAATTTATATAATTTATATAATTTATTAAATTCAAATCATTTTTCTCTCATAAAAAATTTTCATGCAATAGTTTATTATTAAAGAGCATGCATGCATTTATACTTGAATTGGTAACTAGTAGTTTAACAGGCCATGATTGACGGTTTTTTTGCATTGCTGTTGCGATCCTGCTATTTTGATCTTTTCTTCTTTGTTTAGCTCCTTACAAGTTTAGCTTTTTTTCTTAATAATTAGGGGATTCAAAGCTCTAAAACAGACTGTTAAGCTTTATTATCGACTTGGGAAGTATAAGGAGATGATGGAATCCTATAGGGAAATGCTAACATATATCAAATCAGCTGTTACACGCAACTACAGTGAAAAATGTATTAACAACATCATGGATTTTGTCTCTGGACCAGCTAGTCAGAATTTTGGTCTTCTGCAGGAGTTTTACCAGACGACACTGAAGGCACTCGAAGAGGCGAAGAATGAGGCCAGACATCTTTGCCAATATTACCTATTGCATTAGCACAATAGTCTATCCGTCTGCCCCAACTTTTCTCGTCCTTTTTCCTCCCTTGATGTTTGTTGAAATTGCACACCTGTTTTTTTTTGCAGAGGTTGTGGTTTAAAACCAATTTGAAACTTTGCAAAATTTGGTTTGATGTTGGCGAATATGGTAAAATGAACAAGGTATGCTGTAACTAAAAATTGGTAATCTTTAATTTCTATCCAGTAAGAAGTGAGCGGGTACAGTCGATACTTTCTTTCATACTTGTAGATACTCAAAGAACTCCACAAATCTTGTCAAAGAGAAGATGGCACTGATGATCATAAAAAGGGTACCCAACTATTGGAGGTGTATGCTATTGAGATCCAAATGTATACTGAAACAAAGAACAACAAGAAATTGAAGGTGCGTTTTTGTAATTTTTTTGGGGTCTAATTTTATGTTTGCTTCATTTGTGTCATTTTACTATTCATGTGGTTGACTTATTTACTTTTTCCATGCCATTTAACATAAAAAAAATAAGAAAATAATTCTTTCTTTTGTTTTAATCTTTTGGATCCAAGAATCTGCAGTGAAGCTTATTTTTTTTTTATTTCATGCTACAAGAAATAAGATCGATCTTAGTGATCTTAATATCGTTAATAATAATAAATTTTTTTTAATCGTCACATTAGTAAAAAAAGAAGTTGACGAGGCTTTAAAGATAATCATGGGTGAAAATTCAGTAGGCACTGATGATATCTCAATTGAAGTGTGGAAATATTTAGGAGATTTGGGAGTTACTTGGCTTATTAAACTCTAAATATTATTTTAAAAACTAAAAAAATGCTTAGGGAATGGAGGATGAGTATTTTTGTTCCCATTTTTTAAGAATAAAGGGGATGCATAGGAGTTTGCAAATTATAGAGGAATTAAGTTGATTTGTCTTACTTCAAAATTATGAGAGATGATAATTTAACATAGGTTAAGACATGATACAAAGATTTCTCATAATCCGTTTGCATTTTTGCCGGCCACTCTATCACGGAAGCTATACATTTATTGAGAGGTTTGATGGAGAAGTACAAAGAGAGTAAGGGGTCTACTTATAATTTTTATTGATTTAGAAAAAAAATTATAGTAAGAATCCAAAAGAAGTCCTTTGGAGAGTTCTAGAGAGGAATGGTGTTGAGATGATTTATATTCAAGTCATGAAAGATATGTATACTAGAGCTGTTGCTTGTGTTCGAACAGGAGGGCTGACAAAGTTTTCCTATTTCAGTTGTATTACATCTTGGATTGTTTTAAGCCCGTATCTTTTTGCTTTAGTTATGGATGCTTTTACTGGACATTTGTAGGAGGATATACCTTGGTGTGTGTTTTTCCCTGATGATACTATAAAAAGTGTTTTGGAAAAAACTTAAATTTTGGAGGTCCACATTGGAGTCTAAAAGCCTTTGTTTGAGTATATTTAAAACTGAATACATGGAATGTAATTTTAGGGTATGCTTTCGGTGGTGGTGCGGTGCTGCACCGCAGTTTTTTCTGTTTGACAAAATTCCGTTTTGTTTGCGTTCTCAAAAAGCTGCAGCGGAACACTATGTTTTCTCGTCAGACTTTACGACCTATAGTGGTTGCTAGAAAATTGCGGTCCGACTTTTAAAAAAAAAATTGTAATAGCTACTGCAGCTTTTTGAACAATCAATTTTTCTTCAGCAGCTTTACAATTGTTTTTTCAAATAGCTGTAGGTGTCCCAAACAGACCCTTAGTAGTCTAGTGGTTGAGTTGTAACTATGGGTGATCAAATCATTAAAAGGTGTAAAGGTGTGAAAAAGGTGTGAACGTTTTATATATCTCAGGTCTATTGTTCAAAGTGATGGTGCTATAGATGAGGATGTTATAAGTATTATTCAAGTGGAGGAATGCATCAGACATATTGTGTGATAGAAAAATTCTGCTTAGACTTGAAGAAGAATTTTATAAGATAATGGTGAGACTTGCAATGCTCTATGATGCATGATATTGGTCTTTAAAAGAGAAACATAAAATAAAGTTTAAGTGTTGCTGAGATGAGAAGGCTTAGGTGGATGAGTGGCTTGGCACTTAAAAACAAAATGTGATATGAATATATTTGTGATAGGGTCGGTAATGTGATATGAATATATTTGTGATAGGGTCAGTTTAGCTCCAGTGGCGGACAAGATTAGATAGAGTTTTCTTAGATGGTTTGGTCTCATTAAGCGCCAACCATCTGATGATCCAGTTAGGAGAGTAGATGTTTAGATTCGACTTATGTTAAGAAAGTCAAAGGTAGGCCTAAAAAGACTTGGCATATTGTATAAAAAATTGTCTTAATCTTTTAGAATTACATGAAAATATGACACTCAATATGACAAAATGGAGAAAAAGGATTCATGTAGTCAACCTCACTTAGTAGGATAAAGACTTGCTATTGCAAGAAATTTGGTTTTTTTTATTAATTTCATGACATAGTTTGATGAGCCTTCACCTTTCTTTAGCTACTTTTTTCATTTAACATTTGTAAGTTTTTTTTAAAAACAATTAATAAACTTTGCCCTAAGAAATGACTGATGTTGCTTGATTGAAGCTCAATAAATATGACTTGAAATATCATCATGATCTACGTGCAACCAATATATACTGGTAAGAACCCAAACCTGCAATCAGTTTTATTCAATTAGAAATCAACTTAGGACCAGTTCAAGTTGTCTTTTGAGCCTGGTTATCACTTTGAAGTTGATTTTAGTTTATGTTGCCTCACTTGAAATTGGATTCAAGCCTACTTAAAATATCATATATTTATAAATATTTAGAGTAATATATATTGACAAACTAATATGCTGTTGGTCTATTTGTAAGCTGTTCGCAATGCTTCTAAGAGGTCTAGTTCAAAACCTCCTACCAATACTATTTAACTTTAATTTTGAATCATCTCAGAATTTTTTAAGCTAGATTCTTTTATAATTATTAAAATTGATTTTCAAAGTAGTTATATATATTTTTCCAGTTTAAAAGCTTTGGTAAATGAAATTTTGAACAAGTGAATTCTACTCCTCGAGCTTGTACTTTTTTACTAAATTTAGCCTTGAAACTGGTTCTATTTTCCCCTGGATTTCTAATTCAGCAGCTTTTCTTGCAAACTTGCAAAATATTGAACTATTTAACACATGATTTATGCAGCAATTATATCAAAAAGCCCTATCAATCAAATCAGCGATACCTCATCCACGAATTATGGGAATAATCCATGAATGTGGTGGGAAAATGCACATGGCTGAGCGTCAGTGGGCCGATGCTGCTACTGACTTCTTCGAAGCATTCAAGAACTATGATGAAGCCGGAAATCATAGGCGCATTCAGTGTCTCAAGTCTGTTTGAGTTTCAGGAAAATCCCTTCAAAATTTTCTTATTATTTAGCACTTGTTTACACCGGCTTTCCTAATTTCAGATATCTTGTTTTGGCCAATATGCTAATGGAATCTGAGGTGAACCCATTCGATGGACAAGAAGCAAAACCGTGAGTTAATTTCTTTAATAAAAGTCTGTTTGGGGTGGCCGCAATTTTTTTATAAAAATGGTTGTAAAGCTGTTATGGAAAAAAAAAATTTTAGAAGCTGCAATAAAAATTATAATTATATAATATTTTTAAGAAATCAAACAACAGCTTTCCTACAGCCGCCTGCATTTTAATAAGCTAGGCTGAAAAATTTCTTGAAAGCAGCAAGAAAGAAGTTCCCTAAATAGAATTGTCATGGCGGTTTGAAACTCGAAGTAGACGAGCAGTCCCAAACAGACTCTTAAGTCTTGCCTTTCAAAAAATGCTATTATTTCTTCATTTTTTTACACCAACATCTACATTTTTTGTAGATATAAAAACGACCCTGAAATCTTAGCAATGACAAATCTGATAGCTGCGTATCAGAGAAACGAAATATTTGAATTTGAAAAAATCTTGAAGGTCGATTTCTTCTTCTTTGTTTAATGGCTTCACTTTGCCAAAATATAGTCTAACTGGATTCTTAAATGTGACTAATATGGTTTTACTTCTGTGATATTGGTTCCACAGAGCAACAGGAAAACGATTATGGACGATCCTTTCATCCGAAATTACATCGAGGATCTCTTAAAGAAGATCAGGACCCAAGTTTTGCTCAAGCTTATTAAGCCGTATACGCGGATTCGAATTCCTTTCATCTCGAAGGTAATCATACTCAACTCTAAATCTTCCTCCATTTGATTTTGCTCATCTATGATTTTCACCATGATTTTTGCCATGATACCATTTATTAGAAATTTACTTACCTAGCACACAATTCCTATTTATTTACATATTTCACACCAAAATTTTCACATTTACATGCATCGCACTCTTGTGCTTTAAATATATACATAAAAAATATGCATTCAACTTTTAAAAAGTGATAATAGTGCTATTTTTTATGTGAATTTAAAGATTTGATGAAACTATAGAAGTTTGATACATGAGAATCGTGTGCAATATATTTAAATGCCCCCAAGAGTATATGTGTGTGTGTCAATTTGTCTTAGGAGCTCAACGTGCCGGAGAAAGACGTCGAGCAGCTATTGGTATCCTTAATTCTGGACAATCGTATCCAAGGCCACATTGATCAGGTCAATCGGCTTCTGGAGCGGAGCGACAGGTTCTCCGTCGATCATTCTCTACCAATAGTCATTCTTTTTTTTTTCCATCACTCGCTGGCTTAATTTGTTTGTCTTTCCGGCAGATCAAAGGGAATGAAAAAATATGCAGCTGTAGACAAGTGGAACACTCAGCTCAGGTCTTTGTACAAGACTATTTCCAATAGAGTTGGTTGAGAATCCATGACCCACTTCCTCCTCTTCCTCTTCTTTTGACTTGAGGTGAGAATTGTTGTTTCTTGAGTGTGAATTTTCCTCTGCATGTGTAGTACATCTGCCCAGCTCACAAAAAATAAAAATTTTGTTACATCTGCTTTTATTTTTGAAACTTTGGCCAAAATTTCAATTTGGCCAAGTTTTTCTTAATTTTTTTTTTTAATTATCTTTATATATCATTAACTACATTTTTTTCCCTTTGTACAATTACTTGTATCTTTTATTTTGAAATTTAGAAAATACTACTCATAAGTGTAGTTTAATAATTGTTTACGTACATACCGCACAATTCCTATGTATTTATGTATCTATCATTTAGACTTCGATTTTTACACTTATAACATTCGAATCTTTTATATCGCGTAAAAAAAATATCACTATAACTATATAATTTTAAAATGTGAAATACATTTTTTATTTATAAATAAAGTATTTTGGATGTAAAAATTAAAGTTTGGGTATTAGATATGTAAATACATTGGAATTGTGGTGTATATGTGCACTTGTAGTTAACTAGTTTCCATTTATTTGATATATGATTTTGATTGTCTTCCTGACTCTGCCTAAAAATTATATTTTTTTAAAGAAAAGGAGCCCTAAATCATGTTATTATGCCCTCATTGGGTACGATTATCAGGTATTATATTAGTGTTATGAAATTGATTTGATGAAAAAAAAATATTATTATAATAAAATAGATTTATGGAGGAAGAAGTTTTGGACGGAAAAAAATACGAACAGAGGAAAAATAATCGTTACACGAAAAATTGTGTAGTCAGGTGATTTTGTGTCTTTTATTGTATATAAATGATTAATGTTTGAATCTAATATGTAATACTAATTTTTTTTAATTAATTTAAATGAGCTAATTTTGAGCATAACTTGTACAATAATAATGTAAATTGAGTAAATCACAAATATGTTATTTACAACAATTTCAAATGTGAGCAATTTTTAAACATAATAAGTTTAGAATGACATAAACACGGGCTATGTTTGAGTTTACTAAAGATCGGCTCGTTTATAGCTATTACTAAAGCTATTTATAGAGTTATAAATGTAATTAATGCAAAAATATGAATCATGTTGATCGGACGACGTAGAGGGTTTCTCTCAATCAGACGACATTTGGTGAATATTTGAGTGTCTTAATGACGTTGGATTTGTCTTGTCAAGAAACTCGATTTAACTATAGACTCGTTAGAATCGACTTTGTTTGACCTTCTAAATGTGTCTAAAAAACTTTGAAAAACAGTTTAATGACTTGATCTGAGCTTGATTTGGTTCGGATTGGACCAATTTTGGTAACATTGAGTTCTTGTCGAGCTGGTCAGTTCGATTTTAAGTTTGATAAAATCGTAGTTCTATATTACTTTTTATAGATGTTTGAATATTTTTTTCACAAAAAGTAATCTCAAGATCTGTGTTATGCCTCGAGGTTCGTGTCGAACGATAGAGATTTGTTGGAAATGTATTAGTTGCCCCCTATTTTTTGGCGGAACCAACCTCATTGCCCGTAAATAACAAGATCCAGAGAACTTTTATTTTTTTATTGTGCATATAAATAAATAAATATCTATATATACCTATTGACAATTTAAACAAATATTCGTGCATTTATCATGAATAACATGCATGTCTATTTCACAGCTTGTTGTTGATCACTTGACACCAATAATTAAGTCAAAACAATAAAACTCATGATTTTAGTGAGCTTTAAAATATTTATTTTTAAATTACAAAAAATAAACTCGTGTTAGTCTTATGACATTTTGTTTATGATACATACTTAGACATCTTGATCGTTATGATCCAGTTGTAAGACCAATAGTTAATTCTTAATTAGTAACACCATTCTTTATATTGCATTCATTATGACCGGCCTTCATGATTTTAAAATGTGTTTAGATTGATTAAATTATAGCCCTTTACAGGTAGGGTTTTAAGTCCATTGTGTATGTTTGCTTGTGCGTTTTATTTCCTTGGACTAGGTTTTTTTGTTTCACTTTCTTTGTTGAACATCGTCTTAGTTTTAAGATTATGTAGTTGTTTGTTTAGTATAACATAAATCCTCATCTTCGTGGGCTTTCTCACAATCTTATATCATGGGAACTAAGCCCTAATTTCTAAATAAATTACAAAATTGAATCGTCAAATAATATCACTTTCAAAAATGTAAAGCCAAACCACAGAATAGTTGAGTTATCACTTAGATTTCCTTAGTATCTTTGACATCTTCCACTTTTCATTCTTTTGGGTTTCAGAAATAACTGTTCAACATTGAACCTTTCTCCTTTGATTTTCTTATAATCAATCATAAAATCTAAACATTGGATTCAGGACATAAAATCAAATTTAATCGAAAGTTTTCTTAAATAATTTCGATTGCTTGAGATATAATAAACTATAAGGGTTTGAGTTTGTAGAGAATTAGTAACTCAAATATTCTAAATCTTATATAGTCTTCAAACTATATAGAGGAACGATTTGTTGGTTTTTTTTGCAGACCAAACAAATATCTTAAATGTTTTCGTTTGAATAATTGAACTCATTATTAAGTGATATTTTCATCTTTCAATATGACATATTACTTATAATATCGTGTTTGATTATTTAAGCAATTAAATATTCGAGATTCGTTTGATCTTATTTTCAAAAACTAAACCTTTTATCAAAAGAGAATCCTAGTTTCAAAATTTGTCAGTAAACTGGGAGACAAGCTGAAGAATGGAGCTCTAGAATGAGAGAATGTTGACAAATTAGAATAAAGATACAAAACAATGAGAAAGCATCGAAGTCTAACTTTAGTGCAACAGAGGAATCTTGACTGTGAAGAAGAAAATGCTGAATCCAAACCATGGAAAAAGCATAAGAATCTTGAGCGTAGAATCGACAAAGCCGATCTCAAAATAAAAAACCCAGGCGCCAAAAACCTTGATATCCGTATTTTAATACTTAAAGCTTTTTTTCTAGATGAGTCGGCTGGGCCGCACCATTTCTTATGAATTTATTAAAATATAATAATAATAATAATAATAATAAATATTTGAATTGTGGTCGTTGCGTATTGGCCTTATAGCTCTATGTGTGTTATCCACACAAACATTTTTACCTTTTGAGGGCCTCTTTCTGTCTATAGTTGTTCACTATAAAAAAATCCATAGCTATTAATCATCCCCTTCTGTTCCACGTCTCTTTCTTCCATCCTGGATACCAAACTAGTTCTTTTCATTCAAAGCCATCACCTTTAATCTCTTTCTTCTTCTTAAACTTACCTTCGATAGCTACCATTGATCCAACCTCAAGACCAGCTAATCGAATTCGTCTCTTAAATCAAACAGAGTTCAATAATTCATAATTCATAAGAACTCGTTTGTGTTTTCAATGAGCCACTTGCTTAAAGCTAACTAAGCCCGAGCTATGCTCAAATCCAACCCAAACAAATACAAAATTTAAGCAAATCAAGTTTGAACACGACTATAAAAGCTCGAGTTGCGTTTGACTGGTTCGAGCTTAAACATGCTTTTGATAAATGAGTTTGAGAGACCCCCCTTTTTCATGCGTCCCTAACCAACAAATGATTTGCACACACGTCATATAATTAGTGATAATCATATTAACTTTTGGACTATGCAATTATTTGCCTTCATTAAGTTTTCATATTTGTTCATACAATGTATACAAACATGTTTTTGGTCATTTCTTAGTCAACCAAAAATATATATATATATATAATTAATTGATAGAGGTGCGTGTTCTCTTATTATATGCTTCAAGACAAATATATTTTTTTATCAAAGTCATCTGTATAAAATAACAAAGCTATCTTAAAATTACACATGCAATGTACATGAGTATCAATCAACATAACCTTGAATTGAAATCCAATTATATATATATATATATATATATATATATATTGCTTAACTTCCTTACTTTTCTTTATTTACTAGATTAGGGCAATTACATACAAACCACCCGAAACTTGCTATTTACAAATCAACCACCAACTTCCATCCAATTTTCAAATTCTCACTCAAATACCAAAATTCATGTTAAAATCCCAACCTTAATTCTCATTTCTCACAAATTCTCAATAGTATGATAGCGGCATGCGTAAATAAATTGGTTCATTAGTTCAAAAAAATCACTTGGGTGGTAAATTTGTAAATATCAATGTGTCGGGCAGTACGTATGTAATTATCCCTGAATTTTAGTGATACATACACCAGGTAGTTAATATATAAATATTAATATTTTGAATGGTCTGTATATAGTTTTTCTTCCTAAATTTTAATGATAAATACATCGGTTCTTTAGCTCAAAAAAAATTTAACCGACTGATTAATTTGTAAATATAAATGTTTTGAGTGGTCTGTACGTAATTATCCCAATATTTTTAATGACAAAGAACATGGTTGAATTTAAAGTCAAAGATATTGCTTGTAGAAATATAAATTTTATTAAAACAAACAAAGCTCCTAACTTAAGATGCATGCATCAATTGATCAAACCAAACGTCATTATAGCCTATAGATATATTTATTTTTTTGCCTAAAAATAGGCAAAAATAATTAAAAAAAATTTTAAGAGACCCTTTAGGCTTTATTTCTGTTTTTTATTTTTAAATATTTGCTTATTTAATATATTTTTCACGTGTTTTATATTTTTAATTAACAAAACAAGTTGACTTATTTTTAAAAAAACTGAAATTTTTTTTTTGATGGTTTAAACATTTAAAACATATTTTAAATATTACATATGTTTTATCTCCAAGAATAAATATACATAAATAAAAAATTAATAAAAATTAATCCATAAGGTATTCAGTTCACTTTTTAAATCTGCTTAAAAAATAAATTTTCTTATGTTGATATTAGAACTATCAGTTTAATATAATATAAAATAATAGAGGTGGGTAGGGCTGTCAAAACGGCTCGTTGTTCGCGAACAGCTCATGTTCGGCTCGTTCGCTGAGTTAACGAGCCAACACGCCTACTAATCAATTATATATATATATATATATATAATATATATA